GCAAGAGAAGGTTGAGAGGTGACCTTGTGGCTGCCTATAAGTTCATCACAGGGGCACAGAAGGGAATTGGTGAGGTTTTATTCACCAAGGCGCCCCCGGGGGTTACAAGAAGTAATGGCCACAAGCTAGCAGAGAGCAGATTTAGATTGGACATTAGGAAGAACTTCTTCACAGTTAGAGTGGCCAAGGTCTGGAACGGGCTCCCAAGGGAGGTGGTGCTCTCCCCTACCCTGGGGGTCTTCAAAAGGAGGTTGGATAAGCATCTAGCTGGGGTCATCTAGACCCAGCACTCTTTCCTGCCTATGCAGTGGGTCGGACTCAATGATCTATTGAGGTCCCTTCCAACCCTAACATCTACGAATCTATGACCTCCACAAGCCGTATGTGGCATTACACAAACAGACTGACAGTGAATCCTGGGCAGGGAATGGGAGGGTTCCAATGGGAGCCCCCTTTGGAAATTGTATGAAAACCCAATGAGTTCTGGAATGCTGGGAAATGTAGTCCAAAGAAAACCACAAAAAAAAAAAAAAAAAAAAACCCCAGCTAGAAGAGCTGGCCACTACCACCACCAATATCGACAGCAATCAACCAGGTGGCAACAAACACCCACCCACCCGCTACTCTAAACCTTGAACATTTTATGACATCATAGTTGTCACAGCAGTTATAGTAAATAAAAGAAAAAACATATATTTGTAACATGGTGGGATGGGAAGGGAAAGGAACAGGAGGGGAGGATTCATGGGGCTCGTCTTTTGAATTGCAATAGGGTCTCTGGGATCACGTACTGATGGAGAGAGACCAGACTGACCAAGCATAGGTGGGTGCAAGTGACAAGGATTTGGGGGTGACGCTGCCCAGGGGAGACTCACAGTGAGAGTCTGAACTGTCCAGTGAGAGTCCAGGGGTGGGGACTGGAGAGACTGGTTGATTTACATGCACATCCTGCTGCAATACATTAGGAAAGACCTTGCAGAGGGTAAATTGGTATTTGAATCCCCCTGCTGAAATCTGTGGGGAATGACACACAAGGCTTAACTCGTTTGAAAGCACTGTTCATGCAAACATGAACATCGTGTTGTGCAAACACAAATGCACCACACCAAAAAAAAGCCGCGTTAAAATTTTCAGGTGCTCTACATTCATGCCCATGTCATCTACACACCCCCTAAGAAACTGAGTATATATGTTCATTTCTACTGGAAGAAAATGTCTTCTGGAAGAAAAGTATCACAGGAACTGTATTATGCACTCATTCCTCCAGCCCCATATTTGGAACACTTCATAGATAAGCTTTCCAGCCAAAGGCCACTAGAGGGCTGCTCCCTGGGTCATCCCTGCCTTTAAGGAAGCCCATTAATTTGTTAAGGGAGCCTGCACTTTCTCCTGCCTGGGAATGGAGCAAGCTCTCACATGGCAATTGCTGAAAAGCAGCAGCTGCCACAGATAGCCAGGCAGGGTCCTTGCCCTGGAACAATGCCCCCTCATCCTGCCAATGAGCTGACTGGCAGGAGGTAGGCATTCTCTCATGGTAGGAATGCTCCCAGTTCTCCCCCACAGAAAAAGAGCTGGGAACTCAACATGCAAAGGCTTTTCCCGGCCTGATTCCAGGATTCCTCTTGCTGCCCTTCACCCTGCTGAGTAGAGGGGTGGCAATTTCAAAGCTGGCACCTGTAAGCAGCCCTGTTCCCAGCCACTGGCTTTTAAAAATCACTGCCCTATTGTTCAGAAAGCTGATGTGAACTAACAAAGCCCCTTGACTCTCTCTCTCAAACCCTGGTTTCAGGAAGTCAAGAAGCACTGGCTTCTGCTCCCTTCACCTCCAAGTCTATGGAAGGGGGCAAGCGGCTCCCCTGACACCTTCAAGATTGAGGTGACCCTCATCTCAGGAAAGCAGGAAACCTTTCTCTGGCTCCACTCCTCCTTGTTCCCTGTAGGAGTTAAGCCAGGACAAACTGTATAGAATCATAGAAAGTTAGGGGTTGGAAGTGATCTCAGGAGATCATCTAGTCCAACCCCCTGCTCAAAGCAGATTCAGCCCCAACTAGTTCATCCCAGCCAAATCTTTGTCTAGCCAGGTTTTGAAAACCTCCAAGGATGGAGCTTCCACCCCCATCTGGGTAACTTGTTTCAGTGTTTTACTACCCTCCTAGTGAGAAAATTCTTCCTAATATCTAACCTAAACTTCCCTTGCTGCAACTCAAGACCGTTGTTCCTTGTTCTGTCATCTACCACCACTGAGAACAGTCTAACTCCATCATGTTTTGAACCCCGCTTCAGGTAGTTAAAGGCTGAAATTACATCTCTCCTCAGTCTCCTTTTCTCTAGACTAAATAAGCCCAGTTCCCTCAGAAGTCATGTCCCGCAACCCCCTCACCATTTTTGTTTACCTCTGCTGGACTCTCCAATATGTCCATATTCTTTCTGAAGTGGGGGGGCCCAAAACTGAACACAGCACTCCAGATGTGGCCTCATCAATGCTGAATAGAGGGGAATAATCACTTCCCTTGACCTACTGGCAACACACCTACCAATGCAGCCCAGTATGCCATTAGCTTTCTTGGCAACAAGGGCACACTGCTGGCTCACATGCAGCTTATTGTCCACTGTAACCCCCAGGTCCTTTTCTGCAGGGCTGCTGCCCAGACAGTCAGCCCCCAGCCTGCACTGGTGCATGGGATTGTTCTGCCCTAACTGGAGAACTTTGACCTTGTCTTTGTTGAACCTAATGAGATTCCTATTGGTCCAATCCTCCAATTTGTCTAGGTCATTCTGAATCCTAGCCCTACCTTCTCGTACATCTACTATACACACCAGCTTGGTGTCATCTGCAAACTTACTAATGGTGCACTCTATGCCATCTTTCAAGTTGTTGATGAAGATATTGAACAAAACTGGCTCCAGGACCAAGATGTGGGGCACTCCACTTGATATCGGCTGCCAACTAGATATTGAGCCATTGATTATTACCCTTTGAGCCTGATGCTCCAACAAGTTTTCTATCCACCTTACAGTCCATTCATCCAGTCCATACTTCCTTAGCTTGCCTGCAAGCATGTTGTGAGAGACCGTATCAAAAGCCTTGCTAAAATCAAGGTACACCACATCCACTGGTCTCACTGCATCCATAGAGCCAGTCATCTCATCATAGAAAACAATCAGGTTGGTCAGGCATGACTTTCCCCTGGTAAATTCATGCTAACTGTTCCTAATCACCTTTTTCTCCAAGTGCTTAGAAGTGGATTTCTTGAGAATCTGCTCCATGATTTTTCAAGGGACTGAGGTGAGGCTGACTGGTCTATAGTTCCCTGGATCCTCCTTCTTCCCTTTCTTAAAGATGGGCATTACATTTGCTCTTTTTCAGCCAACCAGAACCTCTCCTGATCACCATGAGTTTTCAAAGATGATGGCCAATAGCTCTGCAGTCACATCAGCCAACTCCCTCAGCACCCTTTGGTTCATCTCACTTGGCCCCATAGACTTGTACACATCCAGCTTTTGTAAGCAGTCCCTAACCTGTTCTTTCACCACTGATGTTCAGATGTATAGATGTTCAGTCTTTTGGGAAAAACTTTGCCAGGAACCATTTAACCCTGGTTGTTGCTGGGTTATTTTCTCCCAGAGAAGCCATTTTTGCACTGGGAAAATAAGCCTTTATGTCTGTATGCTTGTGGTTTCTACCGAAAAAACAGTGATTCTCCTAATAGAAATTGAGCGCCTGCATCTGGCATAAGATATAGATGATGTAAAGTACTCGCCCAAGGAACACAGGTACAAGGCAGGAATTTAATCCAATGTGCTCAGCATCAATCCAATGAACTCTTAATGCTACGTTGTTTAAGTAATTTAACACAGCTTGCTATAAAATAAAATATACATACCCACAAGCCTTTTGGTTTCTGCAGCAAATTCTTTACTCTGTTCAGTCCATCTCTCTTTTTCACCTGCTAGACCACTTATAAGACTGGAGGCTGTTTGCATCTTATGTCTGCAACGTTCTGCATCTTCAATCAAAGTCTACAGGAAACCAGTTGCAAAAATAATTGTTTACAAGTGAACATATAAATCTAAACCCATGAGGGAAGAATGTTCACAAATGCCACAATTAACACGTATTGCATCCACTGAGAAGGATAAAACACTTGACATAAGATGTTCAGATGAAATACTCTGTCACTGCTCGTCACTATGTCCCAAGAATGGAGGCATACACACCTAGATTTTGTCCTTCAAAAATAAAAATGTGCATCCAATGTTTAATAGATGTTTTCAATTTTCATTCTGGTCTTGTAGGTTAAAAATGTGGTAAAAAGGTGACTGATGCCCGACACCTGATACTAGAGCCCAAGGCCTAATGTGTCAAGTAGGACTTCCCTGAAACCGTCTTTACTTCAGATACAAAGAAAATACAGGTTTCTGACCAAAGCATTGTGCTACACACATCATGTATTTCAGTGGAGTTTAAGATGCAGTGTCCTGTGCTTGTGCAAACAATATCAAAGTCAGTAAAGCAATCATATATTCTTTCTGTAACAAATACTCAACCTGTTTTTCCCTCATGGCTTTTTCATACTCTGCCTGCACAATATCTAGTTCAGCTTGCTTGGCATCCAACTCTGCTTGGGCTTTCTGCAGATCCACCATGGCAGTAGCAAGGCGATTCTCCTGAACTGCCAAATTAGCCTACAAAGTATACAAATACAAAACAAACACTTTCACTGAGCCTTTTAAAGCATTTTGTGTAAGGCATCTCAGATGTAGCTTCCACCCAATTAATTTAGATATGAATAAATGTTCCATGTAATTGGATCCATCATGCCTATTCATTCAATTTATGACAGACTAAATTCTGCTACAATTCTCAATAATTATACGGTAAATTCACAAGTGAGGGTAAAGAATTAAATCCATATCCCTCAATGTTACCTCAAATAAAACTCATAGCGGGAAAACATTTCTGAATTCAAACACATTAAAGTTAAACATATTTCACAATAAGTTAATATGAAAAATAACTGTCGGGCAGCTGCAGGGGTATAGGGTGTAGCCATGTTGATCTAAGGACATAGGCAGACAAGGTTCAGTCAGATTCCCCATGGTCTTAAGCTACAAGTTAACTCTACTCTAGTTGTTCCTAACTTTTCTTGGCATAGTGACTTCAGATGAGACGGATGATGGAGTATAAAACATTGTTGCCAACAGGTACCAAAACTTTTTCCGAGGTGTCACTCCAGCTTGTGTTAGAGAAAGTTACTCTCAAGCTGCATTTGCACTGGTGGCTCAATGAGCCTAAACAAGGATCCTTCTCAAAAAAGTGTTGTACATTTCCAGATTTCTCCATTTTTCAAAGTATGTTTTACAAATTCTTGAAACATCTGCCAAGCCATTCAAAAAAGGATTCATTTACTCTTGCACAAAAAGTCTGCAACTACAATACTCACTGGTAAGCAACTAATGTTACTTTTGAAGGTTTAGACTTCAGTTCTTCCACAGTAGTAAAAATAAATAAATAAATAAATGGCACTGATGAATGGCAAGTAAATACTTTGACCATGTAGAAATGGCTGTTAACATTTCGAATTCAAGTCAACAGTTTCAGACTGGTTTATATATTTTAAAATTTCTTGCCTGGAAAATTAAACCACACATCAATAAATGTCACTGTATTCTTTCATACTTGGGAGGATAAATTAATCTGCACCAAATGCTAAGCTACCATGACTTAACTGCTTAGTTCCCAAGCTAAGTCTCTTACAGATAATTCAGGTATCTTACCATTTCACTGCAGGGTAGGCTTCCCCAAGGCTAATTCCATCTCTACCCTCCCAACAGATGCACAAGAGTTCAGTTCCCTAGACATGGGGTGGCCAAGCTGTGGCATGCATGCCACAAGTGGCACCAGAAAGCTTCTGTGTGGGGCGGACAAATCTCCATTCCAATGCCCCAGATGCTCCTTTTGAGAGGCAGGAATCAGAATGGCACTCAGGGAAGGTCAGGGCTTAATGTGTGCCACTCCAGCCAAGAAGGCTGGCTAGCACTTCTGTAGACCATGACAGTTGCAAAGACTAAAATATTGTTTAACAGGTTTTTTATTTCATACTGAAAAAACATGACAAAACATACAAAGAAACCAGATAGCTTGACTAAGACTCTTCCCTTCTTTAGGCAATAAATTCTTAATGAAAAAGATCTCAAACTTCATTTCATCTAAAACATTTTAAAGCAGTGATTTAAAGCTCTACTACTTAAGAACCGACTTACACATATGCCGCCTGTTTAAAAACCCACACTTCAATTGGTAAGCCTGCTTATGGATTTCTTGTTTTTGTAGTAAGCAAGTTCAGGGAGCATGCTACAATGTCTGTCTTTCCCCGGAGTGAAGCTCCCACTAGTGAAAAATACAGAGACTTACTTTTAAGGGTAATACTTCCTTGTTGATAGCAAAAAATGCTGCCATAGCTTTGGTCCATGAGCAGAGGCCAGCCACATTCCCACACACTCGCTTTGCAGTTTCAATGTTGTAGTCTATCATTTCAAAGTAGGGGTTTAAAAGCTCTACTACCTCTTCATTGATAGTATCTTTTGGAAATTGCTAGAAAAATCAGGCAGGTAATATTTTAGTCACGCTGTATCACCACACACGTACCAGATTCTCGGGAATAACTTTAAAGGCCTTCATACAGAGGTCCTTTGTTGTACATATTTTTGAGACATCAGTAACAGTCATCAACAACATGAATATCTTAAATTGACTCAATATTTCTTAACTAGTGACCTTTACTACTGCAATTTAGTAATTAATGTTCAGAGGCTGGAATTTTACTCATAGTTTATGTAAGTTTTGTACCATCTTTAAACTTCCCAGTAATGTATAATCCATTGTACGTGGGTTCATGAGAGAAAGGGCAAAAAGAAACCCTTCTAGATCTAGACAAAGAATCTTTTGTACATGTCAAAACAGGGAATCGTAGAAAAATCAACTCGTAAATCAAACTATTTTTTGACCATACACAGAATAACTTGCTATTGGAACTTGCTCTCATAACATTTGTTGCATTTCAACTCTCTCCTGTAAAGAAAGTTCTTTCCCCATTAACACCTACCTCCCATTACACTCCTATGATACCTTTTTCATCCTCATCTTTTTGTTCTACATCTAAACAATTTTGAATTTTATTCTTCATCTGTTGATGGCAGTACTAGGAACATTTCCCCATGAAGTACAGCAGATATAATCTGTTCACGTAATAGCTTACTACATTATCATTCCTTCAAGTGCTATAATCAATACTAGTTCAAAAAACCCTCATCATTAATGCATGGTGGTTGTAATATCATGAACTCTAAGAACTAGCCAAGTCTGCCACAAATAAGCCTGCTTGTCAAGTAAAGTACAGCTCAATTTCACTAAGGGTTACAAATAGGCTTCAAGAAAAAAGGAAATTTAAGTTTTGCAAATCTTTTTGTATCTTAGGTTAAAAGTGGCATTCCGATCCCAGACACTCAAATATTCATAATTAATTAATATCAATAAATATATATATCTCATAGATCAAAGAAAAATATATAAAATCATTTATAAGTCAGCAGCAGAACTAGCGATAGCAAAAATACAAAAGAAGTTAATCCAGCTTCTTATAAAAATCCTGTCATACAAACCCTCCATAAGACAGATTTATGGTTTTCTGATATATAGCCACGCCCACAAGCAAAGAAAATTCCATACAGAAGTTAATTAATATGATATGCTCCAAGTAATAGCTGTTACATAGCTATCTTATAAAGGAATATAGCTATGTTACAGTAGAAAGGGCTTCTAAATGGCAAATGTGACCAAGCAGCTATCCAGTTTTTAAACTATGAATCTCATCTTGCAATTGTAGCCTTAGAAGAAACCACTTTTGATTTACTGTCAGAGTTCCTGCCTGAGTAACAACTGTGGGACTGTGCCCATGTTTCTTAGTGGTAAGCTTGTAATAAAGATCAAATCCATGACCTGCTTTCTCTACTACAATTTTTGTGGTGCGTTTATTAAATAAAGTACTTCTCTACCTGCAGATTCTGTAAGAAGTTGCCTGCTGTCATAAGTTTCAGGGATTCCTGCCAGGATGGGATAGTACAGTTTCTCTCTTGATCCACTTTCACACTGTTCACTTTCCTGTGGAACAGCAGTAGCACGCAATCCATGATACGCATGATGAGGTGTGGAGGTCGACCCAGCGTACGGACAGTGGCTATGTCTGCAGGCTTTATTGTCTGTTAAAATTGAGAGGAAGGAACAGAGTTATATCTCTTGCCATGTTAGGAAGTCAATTCGTAGATAATACTGTTATAAGATGGCAGACAGACAATTGCATTAGTCCATTCTACAAGCTTAAGATTGTTGTCTGTAACATTTTTAACTGTACAGTCATCTTCAAGCCAAACACATCCAAGGAACACATCCCGATAGGTTTGGGATTGTTGCCTCTTGCAAGCTGGTAAGCAACTTCTGCTCAGCAGCTCCCACAAGCTATTTATATGAATATGCCCAGTTCTGAGAAAAAATGCTGTTAGAAAAAAATAGGTTATATAAAAAATAGCTCCTGTTTGTCCTTATTACAAGCTGTTATCACTGGAACACAAAAGGCCTATCACGTGCTTTGAAAATTTTTACTCTAAGTACATCTTCACTTAACATAATAGTGCTGTCAAATAACAACAGCCCTGGAGAGTTTAAGAATGAATCAACTAACCAATACATGTTGTTTTTTAGCTGGGAAGCGTCCTTTAAAATGTTGAAAGTATTAAAATATATGTAGTTCTGCACTGCTAACTAAGGTCCATTTAATTCCTAGTAGATGTTTGTAATTCTCATCTAATTGCATACTATTATTGATTAAATTTACTACTGTATAAAACTATGCAGAATTTCAACCAAACCAAACGTTTTCTTATTGGATAAAAGTTGACTGAGACAACAGAAACATTTTGTATGTTTCTGGCAGATTTTTTTTAATGTCTTTTCTTCTATTAGGGAATTATCACTGAGCTTTTTTGTGAATTGAAGAATTCAAGATGAAAATAGTTGATGGCCCACACTAAGCAAACAAATCTGTAATAGGAATTTGTCATCTGTACCTTACATTCATTTGCTACCTTTTTGTATAGTAGTTTTAATTTACATCATTAAAATGTGCCAACTATAGCACAAAATATTAATAGTCATCTGACAATGTTAGTTGTCAGTCATATGTTATACAATCAGAAGAAATAGTTTGTCATAAAAACAAGATCCATCAGGTAGAATGGTTTTGTTTTTAAAAAATTGTTTCAGATTATTGATTTTAAAATGTATTGAAACACAGAATAAAACAAGGGACAAAATACAGGTAAAGCCAAAGTAACAGTAACTGCTTATTTATTCCTTTAAGACATTAATGTAATACCCTAAATATTGATGATAGTTTAAATGATTATACAGCCAACAAACCTCTCTCATATATCATCCGATGCCCTGTTTTGTTTTTCATTCTACTGTACTTTGTATCTGGATTTTAGTACAGGTTCATGACTTATACTTCTTGTTTGTGCATCCTTACCATTTCACTCAATCCCTATATTGCTGCTCATCTCCACAAATCAAAGTCATTACAACAGAAGAAAGTACATGTCCCAGGGAAACAAAAATGGAGGCACCGGAACAGCCTCCTACGGCGGGACCCAAGGCAGGGGCGACTCGTCCAGGAAAAAAAGAAGAGAGCCCTGAAAAGAAGGCATACTTACCGCCCACAGGGGAAAGAGCCGCACCAAGAAGGGCCACTGGTGTGGTTCGTCAGCCACTTTTATTGCCGGCTGGGGGCAGCACCAGCCGATGATGTCAGGGAAAACCACTGCCCGGCAGATTCAAAAACCGGCAGTGGAGAAATGGCAGAGACACACGGCAGGGACGCCCAAGTGTGGAGTTGCTCCCTGGGTGGCATCTCAGAAAGAGCAGCTGCCTTGAAAGGGGCAGGACGGAGACCCTCTGGAGGGGTCTCAGCTGCATTAGAAGGATGCATCAAGGGGTCGGAAGTACCAGACATTGGACCCATGAATGGGGACAGGCAGAGACCAGCACCCCAATCCTTTCATTATTTCTTTTTTGTTCACTTTAGTTTGGAGGGCACCTGGAGTCATGACCAAGGAAAGACCCTCCATGGGTCCAGGGTCACAAAAACAGATCAAGGTGGGATTTGCAGGAGCCTCGGAGGAAGTTCAAGCACAAAGGTGGACACGATCACACACCTCGTGATCACCTGGGACAGGCAAGCCGTCCAGGGACAGACAAGGCGGTAAAAATTCAGATGAGGACCTCACAGGCAACAGGCCAACAATCCACCATCCAGCGGTCTTGAGGGCTGGCACATGGCTGGGGTTTAGGGGAGGTGTAGCCCCAAAAACGCTTTCGGTAGGTAGTACCTGGTCTGCGAGAATCACCACTGAAGAAGAGAAGACCAAGTCGTGGCAGATGAGTGTTGGGGTTTCCCTCAGGGTGAAACGCAACCTAACACCTAAGTCCTGGGGACATACCTCTTGGCCAGAGCCTAGTGAACGCTCAAAGGCCACCTGAGAGTGCCTATAAGAGGTCAGGCAGGGGCAGTACATGGACATTTAAGACTCTTTAGAACAAAAAAAAAAAAAAAAAAAAAACCTGACCCCCTTCAAGGTTGGCATTTACCTCGACTTATTTGAGGCACCAGACGCACCTTGCCACTAACTGTAGCATCTACTGAGAGGTTTTCCTACAGAAGTATCAGACTTATTCTCATCTTCAAGAGCTACAAGCAGATTAGCATTTCACTTGGGTTCATGCCTGCCCTAAGTCTTATCTGGTCAGTTTTTTAAAAGAAACTCTGGACTGAACAAGAATGACAGATCTCTTCCCTTCACCAGAAAGGTTGAAGCAGGGGTATATTAAGAGAAAGAACCCATAAAAAGGTATTTGATGGAGGATTTCTCAAGAATTTAAGACCATTTGAAGTTACACATTTTTTTGACAAGTCAAACCTTTAGATATTTCTGATATCACTGTATCCTCAACCACTCAGTTCTTGCCATTTCATATGTTTAAATGGTATAAATGGGAAGTGTAATTCATTTCAGTGCCTATTGCCGATAGCTTCCGATTCTTCGTCCTCCTCCCAAAATGCTCTATGTACTTCACATTTATCAAGTTTGACAGAAGTGGAAATACGCATCAAACAATATAGTGAAATATCAGGAAAAGTAAAATGAGTACTTCACTCTTTACACACTGTAATGTAAGATTGTGTGCAGAATACAGAAGTGAGCTCAGTCTAAAAATGTCACTGCAAAAAAGGTGCCACTTGGCCCTACCTTCCGCCTGACAACAATAAAAGTGGGGTTGAATAGCATTTGAATATGGAGACACAGATAACCTAATGCTCTGGTGGTTCTGTGCATTGGAAATTAGAGAAAACCACCAAAAGTAAGAAGAATTATCAGGAGGTTCAAGTGCAGTACCAGTTTAGCAGCAAAAATTAGAACAAATGAAAAAAAAAAAAAGATAGCTTTGGACAGCCCAATGGATGTTCTTATTCTGGTGAGCATAATGTTTAATTAGTAGCATAATGGTTAATGATTAATAGTTAATCTGCACTCCTTTCTTGCATACATTGGTGGTAGTGACTTGGCGTGTGATTTCACACACAGTGCTGTAGTGTTTGAAGCCTTTATTCTCTGGTGGGCTTTACCACGAGCCTATTTAGTTTGATGTTCATGAAAAGATTTTTTTGCCAATTGTTATCTGGCCCACCCACCACTTTACCCTCAGTTTTCTAGTAAACCCATCTTGTGAAAACTATTATACTGTGTAGTCTAGGCTTTTTAATAGAGACCTGTAAAGCTGCCTCTGCCTCTTCTAAGGCAGGTTTTGCAGCCTCTAGTTTTTCTTCAGCAATGGCTTTATCTGCTGAGATGCTGTCAACAATAGTCTGGGCTTTATCTTTCACTTTCTGTACTTCTGCTTTCACCTTTTCAGCAGCTTGCGCTTTCGCAGTGACTTCTTTCAAAACCTAAGAAAGAGAATAAATTCAAACTTAAAGACAATATATTGCTGCAAAAAAACTGCTGTTGTGTATTCATTTCCAAAAGGTAAAAATCATGGTCTTATTTCATGTCCATGGGCTATCAGGATATTCAAATGGGATTGCCTTCATTTTCATTATCATTATTATGCAATTACAAATACTTCTTTTTCAGATCTTTTTTCCTTGATTATTCCCAGTCAGCAAGAAAAGCAAAAACATGAAAGAGAGTAGCAACTATGCTACTTGGTATACTGAGTAGTACTAAGTCTGTACTTACCATGTCAGCTTTTTCATTAGCAACCTGAAGCTCCTTTTCTTTAATCTCCAGTTCTTGGCTTAATGCAGCCACAGATTCAGATGCCTCCTTCAATTTCTCCAGTCCTGTATTCATTCTATATTTTAAAAATAAAAAACAAGAATATAGAGTTCTTTCCATTATGTGTATTTCCATTTTTTTAAAATTTAATTCTAGCAACAGGATGACTAGTTAAACTACTTCAAAAGATTATGTCAAAAATAAGCTGGTACAAAATACACGTCATCCAAATGATCAAATTGCATGCCTTTCTATTGTTTTCAGAAGCCTCCATGTTTCACTTTTTAAAGAAAAATGTTGTTAGTGATCAGGGAAAAAAGCTTTGATACCGAGTGAACATAATGTCTGACAATAGATGAATATCTATCTGCTCTTGAAAGCAAAGCAGCCATCATGAATGGCTCAAATATGAGTAGAACAACCAAGAATGAGAAAAAAAGTAGTGTGGGGCCCATGAAAGAATACTTTTCCCACTTCTAAGCAGAGGCTGGTTATTTAAAGTGGTCAGAAATTATGCAGATTTCACATAAATGAGATTTTAAAATAGCCCACTTTGAGATAAAGCACCTAGCTCTGGAAACAAAGAAGAGAGGATGGAGGAAGAAAAAGAAGAGAAATCCCAGCCTACTCTCCCCGTTATGACCTGTAACTTTTGCAGACAGATCTGTGGCTCAAGGATTGAACTCTTAAATCACCTCAAGACTCAGTGAGCCATAATAGAGATCCTCCTCAACCAAGGGATTGCCAATGATGAATTTAAAAATATCATCCAATATGCAAGACATAGTTCTCATTCCCAAGATGGCACATTGAAACAAAAAGGTGACAAGAATTCACACCAAGAAACAACTCGGTCACCACTGTTCATCTTTGAAATTCTAGTCACTAAAACCTCAATCCTACTGGCTAATCCATGTCAAATTCAAAGCATAAAAATTGTAGTTCCTAGGTTGAATCCTAAAGAAAATATTTAAAGAAAACTCAACCACCAACCAAACTAGGTAGAAGATTGGAATGGTCATAGTGGAGGTTGGGAACATTCATAGATATGAATGTCCAGAGGTCATCATAAAATCATGTATCCTGAGCTCTGATCAACTGCAATATCATGTATTTCACCCAGTTACCCCTAAAAGTAAACATTATAACTATTCCAGAAACTCATTCACAATCTTGCTTTGATGACATGGAGGCACCATATTCCCTTAATAATGGTTTACTGTGTTTAATAATCATTAGTGAAGTTTCATGCCTAACTAATTTAGTTAGTCTAGGTTCAGTTCTCAGTACTACTTTTCATTAAGCTTTTCTCCACTGGACAAAAGAACCCTTCAGTAACTTGTCTCTTCTCCCCATGAAGGTACTGCAATATTTTAATCTAATCTAATCTTTTATAATTTTCTTCTCTTGTGCTCTTCCAACACAACATTTTTTCAGTGTCCAGGCAACTGACTCTCTCTCTTGCATAGACAGACAGTTTATCTGTTATACTGATACATTATTCTATCTACTAGAAAACTGATTATATGATGACCATTAATAGTGCTATATGTTTTGGGGAAGATACGCCAATTGATTACAGTGTCCCATACTGCTGACAGGTCTGATTGATGTGCCTGTGAGGATACCCTTTTCAAAACGGTCTTTATTGTGCTGAATGATGTTCAACACATGGCCAGTATATGGCTGCACTAGGAAGCTTGGTCTGGGATAAGCTACTGTTCAAAAATAGTGACAGGCCATTTAGGGTGGGACATGTATAGTTTCATAGATTTCATAGACATTAGGGCTGGAAGGGACCTCGGAAGATCATCGAGTCCAGCCCCCTGCCCAAAGGGCAGGAAGTCAGCTGGGGTCATAGGATCCCAGCAAGATGAGCATCCAGTTTCATCTTGAAGGTGTTCAATGAAGGCGCTTGAACCACCTCCGGTGGCAGGCTGTTCCAGACCTTGGGGGCTCGGACAGTAAAGAAATTCTTCCTTATGTCCAGCCTGAAACGATCTTGAAGTAGTTTGTGACCATTCGACCTCGTCATTCCTTGGGGCGCTCTGGTGAACAAACGTTCCCCCAGATACTGGTGGTCACCCCTGATAAACTTGTAGGTGGCCATCAGATCACCCCTGAGCCTGCGCTTTTTCAGGCTAAAGAGCCCCAGGGCTCTCAGCCTGTCATCGTAGGGTCTGCTTCCCTGACCTCTGATCATGCGCGTGGCTCTTCTCTGGACTCTCTCAAGCTTCTCCACATCCTTTTTGAATTGTGGAGCCCAAAACTGGACACAGTACTCCAGCTGCGGCCTCACTAAGGCCGAGTACAGGGGGAGAATGACGTCCCAGGATTTGCTTGAGAAGCATCTATGGATGCAAGCCAGCGTTTTGGTTGCTTTACTAGCTGCAGCATCACATTGCAGGCTCATGTTCATCTTGTGGTCAATGATGACCCCCAAGTCTCTTTCTTGTATAGTGCTAGCCAACATAGCACTGCTGAGCCTATAAGGATGCGGTGGGTTTTTTTCCCCCCAAGGTGGAGAACCTTGCATTTATCAGCATTGAACCCCATCAGATTCTCATCTGCCCACTTGCTGAGCCTGTCCAGGTCAGCCTGGATAACCTGCCTGTCTTCTGGTGTGGATGCTTTGCCCCAAAGTTTGGTGTCATCGGCGAACTTGGCCAGTCCGCTTCTGACTCCAGTGTCCACATCATTAATGAAGATGTTGAACAGTATGGGTCCAAGGACAGAGCCTTGGGGGACCCCACTGGTCACAGGACACCACGATGAGTGACTTCCATCGATTACTACCCTCTGGGTCCGACCCCAGAGCCAATTTTCCAGCCAGCGGATCGTGGAGGACCCAAGGCGACAATTGGCCAGTTTCTCCAAGAGGCGATCATGGGACACCAGATCGAAGGCTTTTTTGAAGTCAAGATATATGACATCAATCTCTTCTCCCTTGTCCAGGTGATAGGTCACCTGGTCGTAGAAGGAAATGAGATTGGTCAAGCAAGACCTACCCGCAACAAACCCGTGCTGGCTATCCCTTAAGATGTTGGCGTCGGCCAGTCCATTAAGGATGGCCTCTTTAATAAACTTTTCTAAGATCTTCCCCGGGATAGAAGTCAGGCTGATGGGCCTATAGTTAGCCGGATCCACTTTCCTCCCTTTCTTGAAGATAGGCACCACATTGGCCTTCTTCCAGTCTTCGGGCACTACACCAGAGCGCCAAGAGTTTTCAAAGATCCGTGCTAGAGGCTGGGCTATGATGCTCGCCAGCTCCTTGAGTACCCTGGGGTGAAGATTGTCAGGGCCAGCTGACTTGAAGGTATCCAGCTTCTCAAGATGTTCCTTCAGAAAGTCAGCATTAATGGAGGGCAGGGGATCACCCTCACCCGGACTTCCCGGCCCTGTAGCGGGCATGGGCGTCCCATGGGACTGATGAAAGACTGACGCAAAGTACCTATTTAATAGGTTAAAAGTATCCTCCTATTTTCTACTCTTCAGAAGAATAATAGTCCAAACCATCTCAAACCTCAAAGAAAAAATTGTGGTTGGTTTCAGTGTTGCTGGGAATCTGAGCATGTTCTGCCATGAATCTACTACTGATAGTTACAGCAGTGCTGGTATCCACTCAGAAAATGGTTTCTTTTCCCCCTCCAAACTGTGCAAGCATTTCTGGAAAACTAAAGTGATGCCATCAAATGCATGCACTGAAGTCAATTAAGAGATGTCAGAAAACTTGAAATTAGACTCAGGAGATAAAATGTTGGGCTGCCTCAGCCTCAGGTTTGCTGGTCATTACATTTTCCTCAGCATATTTGCCAAAACTCAGACTTTCCCAGAACTAAGTACAGATTTGGCCAAGGTTGGTTCTCCACCTCTTTATCATTACCTGAAAGAGAAAAAAGCCAAATACACAGAACTATGGGTTTGGTTTTGGAGTAGTGCAAAAAGTGCTTTTATAATTAAACGTTAGTGCATGAAGGTCTTTTTCATTTCTGACCGCAAATCTAAGTTTGAACAAGACCAGCCATGATGCTGTCACAATTTCATCAACCATAATGAGGAGGTATGTTTCCAGGAGATAAACAAGAGTGAAATTACTTTCCTCAAAATTAAATTAGGGTTGCTCTAGTTTATTCATAGAAGAAGGCAGTTATTGGACCACTTCACTAATGGGAAACAATCACGTGCTGCTAGGAGTACGTGTTCGAGAAGGAGAGCATTGCATCGGATACCTTCTGGGAAGTGAGACTAAATCATGCCAGAAGTTTCCTGAATTAAAAAAAAAATGCAAAATTATTATTCATTTAATTTTCTTTAAGGCAACTACCTCTACCTAGAGCTAGCCTTAGCACAGATTTACCAAACAATCTTCTATGTCCAAACTATGGAGTCTGTCCTGCAGAATTAAACCCCTATAAAGAGGATGGTTCTTAGGGTAAACAAGTTTAACTTGTTTTGAAAGTTGGCATTCACCCCAAATTTAACTGACTCATGTTCTATATGGACATTTGTGCCAGAGTAGCGTTCAATAACTTAATCTGAAGGAAATAGTTAATAGGTGTTATAATGGGTCATGTTAGCCACACAGGCACATTTCTATTTCAGAGCAGCATAGGTTTTCTAATAGTATGTTCCATACTCAATGCACTGTACAAGCAGTAACTAATTATTTCTAGATCTCCATGAGGTAGTTAAATATTATTAATAAAAAATGAATGTTTTTTTCTTTTGCCAAGAATTTCAATGAAGACAAGGGGAAAATGTATAAAATTTTGAAAAACCAAAGACTGTAAAATTCAGTTCAAAAGATTTTGATCTTCAGTTTTTTGACCAAAAAAAATCAAGTTGTCAAGGAAAGTAGTCATTTCAAATGTATATTTTGGTTTGTTCTACATCAGACTATTTGAAGGACCATCATAATATAAACAGAAACACAGCATACAGCAACGCTTTTAGAAGAAGCTGTTACTCTCAGTAAAGTACTTGAGCATTTAAGTACAGCTATATGCATTAAATCTACTCATGCATTATAAGCAATAAAATATTGAAAGAATAAACCCACTTGTTAGAATTTTACAGTATGGATTTTTGTTTGTAGGCATTTAATAGGAAACTAACTCCTGTAAAACATGCCAGCTGAAAGGGTTGTTGCTATTTTTCATAAAAGGATTTTTAAAGATCCTCCAAGCAATAACATCATTACATTTAATTCTGCAGTCAGTTGCTCAAATTCTCTAATGCTTTGACTACAAATGGTTGTCTGTTGTAACTACAGTAGGCTTATTTCATCTTACTGCGCTCTCTATTCAATAGAGCCCTGATCTGTACTATTAAGGACAGTGGGAACTTTAGCACTGACTTCAGTGGTTTTTATTTCAGGTCCTGGCTAGCTTCATAGACGTGAGAATGGTTTGAAGGGGATTAATCTCCTTGCTCTATACCAGCAATGCTCAGCCCTAGCCTATCAGCCAAATCTGGCCTGCAGAGCCCATGGGGCTGGATTCAGGCCATTGCTGCACAGCCAGATTGGTGCCAGGCCATTGCCACATGGCACGTAGTATTAGGTCCACCAGCTGGATCTGGCCCGCAGGTGGACCTGGCATCACCTATCTAGACCATGGGGTGAAAAGTTTGGGCACCACTGCTCTATATAATGACTGGATTAACATAGCCACTTCTTTGCAGTGCACTGGCATCACTAAATACAAGGAAATGGCAGGAATGTTTTATCAAAAGAAAAATCTTTGCTCAGTCATTAATGACGTATATGCTCATTATAAAGTTTCTTGAGATATTCTTGATAAGATATTTCATATTGGGGTTTTTTTAATGTGGTGCCAGATGCAGTAAACACTGTGAAGCTCAACATTGACAACCTATGTCCTTCTTAAATTATTTTTATTTGCATCAGATATGCATGCTCATGCCCTGGTTAAAAGGTTGCTCATGAATAGTAGGTGATTCACAGCTGATGTATTGTTGAAGAGTTGCCATGAGTCTTGGGCTTTGTTCTTTGGCCATCTCTTATGAGATCAGTCATTCGTAGGTCCTGGCCTGTGAAGCTTGGTTTGTTTTAGGGACTGGTTAGGAATGGTAAAATGAGTGTCAGGGCTCTTACAGAGTTGTTCATGAGGTTCAGACTGTTGCCATTAGTTTGTTTCAATTTTAGAAACCAATCTTGACGTGCATTGTCTTGAAGGGTTAGGGGACACATTAAGGGGTTGCAGAAATGTTGTCAATTAACATAAATAACAAGCTGGAGTATCAAATTTTGGGTCAGCTGTGGAAACTAATGCCTAGAAGCCATCAACATCTGACCAATGTTCTCTGGGTTATCTAAAAAGTTATCTCATTACATTTTCCTTATAGACAAACTTCCTCGTTGTCATGAAGCTTACTAGTACAATGGGCTATGATTAGCACACTTACTGAAGGGCTGAACGCCACTAATTTTTCTGACCAGCGAACTACTAACCATTGAAGCTAGCTCCTGTGGATCAAGAACCAGGCAGAACAGCCACAGGGTTTTGTGGGCAATATTCTGAAGAATGTAGTGCCTGTGATGTTTTATTCCATCAGGTGGGCCCCGCTTACCCTTGCTGTGCTGGGGGTTGGCGGGGGGCTCCGCGGCTGCTGGAGTGTTTTGGGGGGCTTCGGGGGAGTGGGGGCGCAGTGAGCTTTCACCCGCGCGTCTCTCACCGCTTCCGAGCCTAACTGTTTGTAAAAGGACAGTAAGGATATGGGCCTGAAGTTCTTCAGCTCTGAAGTATCCATCCCTGGTTTTAAGAGTTCTATAATTCATTCTTGTTGCCCCAAGCAGTTTGTGCATTCTAATATTATAAAAGCCTACGTCTGTCTGTCTGCCTGTTCGTAATGCTTTACCCATGATCAAACTGGCTGACAGCCAATCAGAGCGCAAAGAAGCA